GGATGTGGGTGTCTGACTGAGCGTGGGTGTGGGCGGTCGTAGTTATGGATGCAACAAATCCTATTTTACTTCATAAAGATTTTAAATTTTCGACATGAAAACTGCCCAACTCCAAACAAATATTTGTGCCAATTATAACCACTTTCATTAGTTCTACTTGATGCTGGCACTTTATATACAAAACTCAAAAAAAAAACCCGGAAGATTTAGTAGGAGGGTGTGGGTGTGGGTGTGAAACTGAGTGTGGATGTAAGCGTGGAGGTAGTGGTGAGGATGGATGTGAATTTCTGTTTTTGTCCTCACTAGCACTCACGCCTAGACCTAAAAATGTTTCTGATTTTCATATTACTCATGTCTCGATAACAGTAATAAGCAAAAGCTGATATTCTAACATAGAATAAATCTAGACATCTAGTATATGTACTGTAGTGCTCGTTGGATTGATTTTGAACCCGGTCAAATCTAGGTACAGCTCTGAAAGTTTTCCGTTAACTGGTTCAGAGCTGAAAATTTTGGACCTGACAAACTCTAGTGAATTGTGAATATCAGTCTTGATCAATGTAGAAGTATAGGAGAAGCGAATATTGCAGGAAAGGATTTAAACTTATTTTATACCGTTTATGTCATTGTCAAATAAACCAAGTTTACGAAGTTTTCTGAGTTGTTATCAAACTTTTCTTAAAATAGAACATTATTCTCACGAGGTTTTTCCGAATGTTTTTCGAAGATGATGAGTTTTAAAATGATTTTATCTTATACAATATCAGACAAAACCACCTCTGGAGTTCTTATTTTCCGATTGGTGAAAACCACAAGTTGCCAAGTGTTACCGTTGTTAAATTATTGAGCCTACATCTATCTCTTTTTAATTCTGTTTCAGATATTAATGTCGGATTTTTTAAAAAGTACTAAAGACCATTTTTTGAATAACTTGTCAACGGTTCAAGCTACAGACGTCGAGTTTTCACCGTTAGAAAGAGCAAGGCGGGGACGTCAATCTATATAAGAATCCGTTAAGTTCAAGCCTCTTTTCTATAGCTGTTTGCAGTCAAATATTTTTTTGTTGTCTATTTTCATGAGTTTTCGTGACAAGTTAACATCAAATTAGACCAAAATGCAGCCCCAATCTCCCTGTATTTGTGCTAAAATTTTCATATTTTAACATCAAAGTGGAAGGAAAAAAACGAGAAGAAAACGCAGAGATTTGAAAATTTTAGCACAAATACAGGGAGATTTGGGCTACATTTTGGTCTAATTTGATGTTAACTTGTCACGAAAACTCATGAAAATAGACAACAAAAAAATATCTGATTGCAAACAGCTATAGAAAAGAGGCTTGAACTTAATGAATCTTATACAGATCGACGTTTCCCGCCTTGCTCTTTCTAACGGTAAAAACCCGACGTCTGTAGCTTGAACCGTTGAACAGTTATTCAAAAAAATGGTCGTTAGTACTTTTAAAAAAATCCGACATTAGTTTCTAGATTATAACTGAATACTTTTCGAACGCGAGTTTTCCAGTTATATCTGATCCCTAAGAAAACGTCAATGTATTCACCGAAGAAGTCAAGTGTATGTGAGCCACTTTCGTTCATCCTTTTTGAAGATTACAACAGAACGCAGCAAAAAAGAAACTAAAATAAAATAAGATCATTGATTATCTCATTAAAAGTACTAAAATCTGCTAGATAGAGATTTCATTTAAAATAAAATTAACAAATTAAAATAGTTTTTATTAATTCAAATAATTGATTGGTGCAATTACTTTAATCGATCTGATCACCGAACAGTTATAATTCTGATCGTTTGGGCTAACTGCTAGAAGAAAAGCAGGAAGCTTTTATATTTCTATTAAAACAACTCATAAAATATATTATATATAAATCACTTTTGAAGAGAACTATTGGACAAAATTAAGTATCCGACAGTTGTTCAAAGACTAAAGTATTTTCCTTTGATGTTCGTTTTTTAACAAAATTTCAAATTTTTAAAAATCAAACGTTTAAAGGAAATTGAATAAGATAAAACAAAAAATTGAGATTTCTCATTGGAAAAATATGATACATTTGTCGAATTGAATGGATTTCAATTAGGAGAAATTAATCAGACGCACTTTTTCGAATTTTTATTTAATTTAAAACTTTGCAATAATATGATATTTTACTAAATCTATATGTTTTATTCATACATCTTTTTCAATTGATCGAGAAATTATTTTAAAAACTTGACAATCATATAATCTTTTCAATTTTATCATCTAAGATTAAAAATTAACAGGATTAATTTTAATTTCTAGAGATAAATAAACTTTTAGTTAAAGTTTAGATTGAAAAAATTTTCACTAATTCAATGATTATTTACATCTGTTAAGGTTGAAATTACATCCAGTCTCGGATTAAACGAGAAATTTATGCGAGAACTCGAATTGATTTTTATAGATTGATGTCGTCGTTGAACTCTTATGAATGAATTGATAAAAGAAAACAATAGAATTTCAATTAATACAATAATCCATGAACGAATAAAGTAAAGATTCGAAGGATTATGACCAGTTTCTATTAAAGCAGTTCTTGTCTTTAGAACTGCCCATAATTTTATAGATTAAAATTTAGTTAGTCAGCTAATGATTGTGTTAATATTGGAATTTCATTGTTTCGTTCTTAATTAATCAATAGGAAACTGACAAGAACATCGATCTTGAAATAAATTCGAGTTTTAGCATGAATTTCCTCTTCAATCTGACATTGAGTGCGTCACATCTCATATCCGAAGTTTGTCTAATAAGAATTTGACAGTAAGAAATTTTCTTAGGTCTATATATGCTCGCTTTCCAGACCAGCAGATACTTGATCAAAGTCGTTTTGGCTCTACGCATATAATAGAGCATATCGAGCTGTCAATGAGTCAATAATATTTTCTATTTTCCAAACATGAATGTCAAAGAAAATAATATCATCTTGAAGACTTTTCAGATATTGTAATGTTGATATGCTGTTGTTCTGTGAATTAAAAAGACTTTGTTTTCTGCAAAAAAAAAACGATTTGAAACAGGAATAGTTGCTATTTTCTAGACAATGTGCTATGCTCTATAAGCTGGATAGATCGAAAAAAACTTTTAATAAATAAATCAATTGTTCTGAAAAATCGATGTTCTAGAGAACCAGAATATGAAGATTTAAGGAAGTTTTTCATGATCATATTCGAAACAAACATGATCGATAATCTACAATCCATTAACTTTCAGTAAAAAAAAAGCAATTGATTAATTGAAAACATTTTCTCATAAGTTAATCCAAGATTGACCGTAATCTCACGAGGAACCGTTTCGAAGTATGAAACTACTTTTGAGTTCGTACTATGTGCACCATGTAGATTTTAATGACCTGTGAATATTCTTAAGAGAATTCGAATTAATAGCTTATTGTTACTGAAATACTGTATTTTTAATCAAAAATATCGTAGTTTCCCTCAGGAATATACAGCAGTGTTCAGAATTCCGAAAAAGAAAATTTCGGAAGTTTCGGAGATTTCAAGCATTTGTGTTCGGAATTATACGTTACTTCCTAAAATGATGTAATTTCCGCAATTATGTACTTACAGAAATTTCTGAAATTACAGAAATTTCTAAAATTGCTGAAATTTGCAATATGTCTAAAAACTTTTAATTTGCACTGCTAAATAGTAATCGTGCTGATGGAAATTTTAGAAATATGGGTAATTTCCTTTTTTTGGGAATCTGAACATACCTCGGAATATAAGGAAAACTAAGTTTTAAATATCGATTCTAAACTTTGCATTGCATAGATTTAAGCCTTAACGAAAATAGTTTCTTGAGAAAGTTTCAGATTTGTTGATTATGCTTATTGTGTAAGAAGAACACCGGAATTTGCCATTGTCTATGAACGGAGTAAAAAATATGCTTTTCATTATAGCCGTATCTTAGAATAGAAGCAATCAAAAGATTTGAAACTTTTACATTAAATTGTTTTCATTAAGACGTGTCTCTATGCAAAATTTCCAGATAAAAAATTTGTTTTTGTAGTGTTCTTGCGGCGTACCACAATATTCTGATAAACAATACAATATCTCAGCAACAATAAACTATTAATTCGAACTCTTTTGAGGATATTCAAGGATCATTAGAGCCTACATGATGTACATAGTGCGAACTCAAAAGTGATTTGACACTTCGAAGCGTTCCCTTGTCAGTTTGTATGCTGACATATATTTTGATCCCAAATGAAAATTATTCTCTAATTACTCTTACAAAAAAAAACAGAAAAACATATATATATAGTAGTAGAAAAATAATTCAAAGAAAAACTATTTAGGTTGATGTTAATTTTCTATTTGGTCTGTCTATTTTTATTTATTATTGTAAATAAAACTTTCTTTAATCTTATGAATAAATTTTTCTACTAGTCTAAATATTCCGAATATGATTTGATTGTCAACATTAATCAAATGAACAAAAAGAAAATCGAATAACTAGATTTCTTTTTTGCCGAAGGAATAACATATATTCTTATCTTACGTTCTCGTCTTGTTTTTTCTTTTAAGATAATATAATTATCTGTGCTATTTCTTTTTATTCTTATCTATTACAAGCAACCAAAAAAAAAACAGCCTTATATGAGTAATGCATACTGATGGTAATTATTCTTTTTTTTTTTTTATCTATTTTTGAGTTTGCTTTTTTCATTCATGAATCGATATGAATCAAATCAAATACATGTCATAGTTTGGAAGTATTGCAAAAAATAATATCTGACACTTGCATGAAAATGCTTGCGTTCTAGTTCTGTCTTTCATTACATTAAATTGTATTACGGTCTACTTAAAGTGTATAAGTGGTTGGATGAATATAGAAAAATAAATTAAAAAAAAAACAGAAATTGACGCCTCAAAATGTAAAAAAAAAAAATAGTCGTTTGAGAAGAAAAAGGAAGAAGAACTATTAATTATGGTCGAAATGAATTGAATAAAAAGGGAAAACATACAAAGAACTATAAAGTTATTATACGAATGGAATCATAATTATCAAAAGAAATTACAGATACGAGAAGATCTTTGTTCGTGCTCATCCTTACGCATCCATGCTCATAAAAATAGAAAAATCCTCCTCATGAAATAACTAAAAACCATATTGAAATCATTGAAATACGCTACATTAGTAATAAAAACAAACTTTGACGATGTAATAAGATCAACTAATCTTAATGTATACACCCACCGGTTGTCGACTACTACTTTGATTATTTGTAGTTGTTGTATTTAATGTTAAATCATTTTCTGATGTGTCTGATTGCATTGGATTTGGTGCATCACGTCCATCCAGACTTAAAACTGGTAATATACCATGAGATTTATTTTGTGGAAGAGGAGCAATTTGTGAAACACTGGGTACATAATGAAATTTTGTTTCATTCGATGTATTTATTGGTGTTGTAGGACTTTTATTTGATTTTCGTTTGCTCTTACTTGAACTTTTAAATCCAAACATTTTATGTTGTTTAAGTTTGAATAGATGTGTTCGTTTGTTTGTTTTCTTTTTGTTATACTTTCTACAATATTAATGAGCAAGTTGGTGGGTTCGACATGTCTTGGCTTGTATGATCATCATCACAATCTCATATAAGCCTCTAACACACATACAGACGTAAAACATAGACACGCGCGTCCGCTATGTCAACTCTTCTCTTTCTAGCTCTCTCTTTTCTATACTTTTGGCTTAGAACTGGCTGTTCGGCATGTATCCAACAGCGGACGGACGGATGGTCGGTCGCTTACATGCTCGCTCGATAGATGACGACGAAAAAGAAAAAAAAGAGAGAGCAATAGAATAGAATAGAAGAAATGGTTATATATGAGGTCGTGCAAGAACTACAAAGAAGAGAAGAAAAAAAAGACGGAATACGTAGAGGCAACATTTGCTAAATGTTAAGAGCATCATCGCTAAAATATACCAAAAAAAACAGAAATTTATTTGCCGAGCGACAATAAATATGATCTATTCTTACAAGTGTATATCTTTTTTTAATTTTGTGTTACTTTTGTCTAAAACTCATCAATGAAGAAAACAGCTGCACACATAAAAAAAGGAAGTATCCAACTAAATACAATAAAGTGTCATGTGTGCACAGCTGATAAGGCATTTTTTTTTTCAAAACGAAAGTGTACGCATATCTATCACTGACAGGTCAAGCAAATATACTAAAACGAGAATCAACTAAAGAATAAAAAGAAAAAAGAAAACATTTGATGAAATAATTTCACGTTTGATACAATTTAAAACATGATAAAAGAAAACTAATCAAATGTGTATAAAAACATGAATAATTCAAAGAAAAAGGGAAAAAACGTTTCTTTACCTCATTTACTGAAGCTTGTTTTGATAATGTTTTTCGACCGGATAATGATTTGATTGAATGTCTTGTTGGCGCACGACGACGCATTTCTGCTTGATCATCATTATTATTTTCAGTTTTTGTAACTATATCATTATTATTTATTAAAATTGATGGTTGACATTCGATGACAGTTTGTGAATGTTGTGTGGGTTGTTCTGATTGTAAAGGATCCATTATCCTATGAAGAGAACCAATTATTATTTTTAAAGAAAAAAACAAAAATAAAAGAGAAAATTAATAAAGCAGCAAAAATTTTCAACATAAAGGTTTAAATATATATTTCAGACAAATAAAATTATACTTGTGAACAGTTGATAGCTTTACGGTTCTTTCTTATTTTATTGTTTCTTTTCTCAATGAATAAATGCTTAGCTGGCGACTAGACTATGAAAGAAAAAGAAAAACAACTGGTGAAAAAAAAAATGGTGTTTTTAACCATTGTATAGAAACATAACATTTTTGAAGCTTATATAATAACAACAAGAGTGATATATACACGAAGGCATCAAGGACGATTTCTTGTGATTTAATAAACTTTCTTTTGCTTCTTATGGAATCAGAAGAATTTTATATGTCGAATTTATTATTTTTTCCCAGAAGCAAAATTATTTAGGTCTCTGTCTGTCAGTAGCTTTATTATGATATGAGCCTATTAAAAAAGATGGATTGCTACTGTAAGCAGCTAGAAAGGAAATCAAAAGAATGTGAGGAATATGAATAAAATAATAATATAGGGAGCTAACTGATCAAACATGCAATATTAGCCAAAAAAATACTATATAGCAAAAGCATAAGCAACGGTTTGATCACGAAGTTCTTAATTAAGATGGATTTTCTTTTTTCTTTTTCATGTAATCTTATCGAAGTGTGCCAATGATATATTATCAACAAACAGCAGATGGAAGAAAAAAAAGAACGCATACAACATTAAAAAAAACTCGAGTCGTATCTATCAAAGTCACATAGAGTCAGTGATGTGTCATTCATATATTCTTTTTATGGTGCTGATGAAGCCAAAGAAAAGAGTCCAGTTTTAACTAGACTCATTTCATCTTCGTCCAATATTCCTATAATAAAGACAATATTGGTTTTTGTTTTCGTAGTGTATTATTTTAGTTTATTTTTTATTTTTATTTTTTTATTTTTATTTTATTATGTTTACCTCGTTGATTACAATCACGAAAGAAGGTGACTACAGCTTGTTCAACAAGTCTACTATGAGTATTAGTACCATTTTGATTGCTATTAATATCCATCATTTCATCAACTTGAAGTTTTTATATGAATAAAAAAATATAGATTACAATTAGTCTAATTACTCAAAGATTTCTTTCTTTTTCTTTTTACTTTCATGTAACGTTGAACTAGCATAAGCTGTTGTATTCCTACTTCTACTATCTATATAGACAAAAAAAGAAATAATGATGTAGTCATTTAATGTTGTTTCATTTCAATTAACACCTGTCGAAAAACTTCGAGTGACAAGTAATTGCGCAGTCATTCGTTTAGCACGATCATTTTTTATTAAAGCAAATAAGCGTGAATGTAAATCCTAGAAACAAAAAGAACAATAAACTTACATTGAATTATTATTTATAGATATGTATATATTTCCGATATATTTAATGATTTAATACAAGGACAAAATAACTACGCTTATCAATCAAACAGTGTTGCTTTTTCTGGTACAAAGAAAAAAAAACACTCGAGAAGAACTGATACATAAAAAACAAATAGAAACTTATCAATCATCATATATGAAAGATAGGTTGTATCATATATATATATAAAGACAATCATACAAAGGATAATCAAAAACAAAAAAGAACTGATCGTGTTATCGATTTTGATTACATTTTTTTAATGGATAAAAGATTTTAGAATATGGTTAATTAATTTTTTGATATTAATTAGAGTTTAATATTCTAATAGGCAAAACAAATTTATTGATAGTAAAAAGTTCAATATTTTGTATCAAAGAATCCATTTAATTAAAAATTTACATTAATCTAATACAGAAAAAAATAAGATATAAGCTCATGCACTTAGATAATTAAGTTTAAAATCTCTGAATATCATGAAAATCATCCATCATACATGAAGTTATTTTTAGTAGAATTACTTCTCGTTACATAAGTCTTATTTACTCCAGTTATTAAATGTTTTTTTGCAATGATACAAGCAATAATATGTCAACAAAGGCCAGGTTATATATAAAGAAAAACAATGTTTTTCTGTTCCTATTTCTTCTGTCTGTTATTTTTCTCACTTCAATATAATTATTCTTTCCAAATACGTTGAATTTCCCATGATACGTATTTTCTCCTAACGCACGAATTATTTCTCATTTTATCTACATGAAAATTTTTTTTCTTTCACATGTTCATACTTATTTCGACATCATTTATTCCATGAGTATTACAGAATTTATGTTGCAATTATTATTAAAATCATATGAGCGTTAATAAAAAAAGGAATATTTCAGATATAGATCATTGACTACATGCCTAAGAATAGTTGTGTTCAACTTAAAAGATCGATAAAAATAGCACTGCTAGAAAATGATAGATAATGCATTGATTTAAACTATATGATATTACTCAAACCAATAGTTTCGATGGTTGATTCTGTAGGTTTCCGATCGGAACTTACGTGAAAGACATCATTTCCGATAGGAAAACTTCTCAAAAATAGTAGAAAATTCAAAATAGGAATACGATGATTGGATCAAAAGGTCCACTCTGTCTGAAATTGAAAAAGATTCGACCACTGGATGTTCGGTTCCGAGTTCCTATATCATTCACATTGATAGACTTGTATTTAAAGCGTCAATATCTAGCTTAAATAAGTAATATAGTCTCATCATCTAACTCTTAACTCAAATCCTAGAGTTTCGATACTGTGCTTGACTAGTAGTTTTATATTATTGATGATCAAGTTAATCATCTTTGCACTACACATTTACTGCTTAGTGATTGAGTGGACTGTTTACTGAACTTAGTTTTCCCCTAATGAATTGTTAGACACGAGACAGATCGGAAACAAAGACTTAAAGTCTAATATTTGTAATCATGCAAATCGATAAAAATAATAAAAAGACTAGCACACAAACTGTTAGCATCTATTAGCATGATGAACTTCGAATAAATAAAAAATCTAATACATTGTTATACAAGCACGAAACAATTTGAGTATTTATATTATGAAATATTATGATTTAAATTCCTTTTAGAACAATCTGTTAGAGACTACATCATTCTCTATCACTACATAAATTAAGTACGATAGTCAATGATATTATCAAAATAAACATGTGGTTTTAATGAAAACTATAGTTAATTAACGGACCTTATCTTTCAGACATATATTGATATTATTCGATTCGTTCTTGTGTCTTCGAACTAAGCTCATTATATCGAAATTATAATGACAAAGGAATGTTTTCGAATATCAAATCACTCTTGAATCAAGACTATGTGCATCATATAGATATTAACGAACTATGGATACTCTGAAAACTAAATTCGGACTATTAACTTATCACTGTTGAGATATTGCATATTTACTATACTTTTTAACATCATACAGTGATCACCTCAGAACCTCTAGAAAAAATGAGTTTAGAGTTGCGATTGTGAAACATTGCATAGAGACAGTCCTATTAAAAGAATAGTTTATTATACAAGTTTCAGATCATTGTTGTTTCTTCTATCCTAAGATACGGCTATGATAAAAGTACGTTTTTTTTTCTTACACATTGCTCATACACATTCACCAATTCCGATGTTCTTATTTCAGAATAAGAGCAATTAAAAAACCGGAAACTTTCACAGTAGACTATTTTCATCAAGACTTCTCTTTATAGAAAGTTTTAAATTGAAAATCAAAACTAATTTTTTTCTAATATTTCTAACGGCGCTATGACATTACGCTAAAAACGAACGTAATAATGTAATATCTTAGCAATGATAAAACTAATACTCGGAAGTTTTTTCAGAATATTTATAGTTCATTAGAATCCACGTCATGCACATAGTTCTAATTCAAAAATGATTTAACGCTTAGAAGCGTTCTCTCATGAGTACTAATAATGGATTTGAAAGTCTCTGATTAAATTTTGATAATTATCAAAAATGATCACGTTTCTTTCTTTCATGTTCTCCTTGATATATTCAATGAAATTAATAAAAATAAAATCTCGATAATAATCGAAATATTTTCTTTTTTTTTTCTTTTACCGAATTAATATTTGGTAACATAAAAATAAGTTGTTCTTTCATTGCATATGATTTCGGATCATCATCTAATTCTATAGAAAGAAAAAAATGAATAAATCAAATTATTTTCTATAGAATTTTCTAACCAAGAATAACTTTTGAGACAAATTCTTCTGTTAATGTAAGAATATTTTGATCAATAGCAGCAACAAATCGATCAAATGGCATAACACGAAATGATATTTCAAGTAAAATTCGTTGAAGTTCTAAAAGACAGAAAAACAAAAATGAGTTGTTTTTCTTTGTCGTTAAAAACAAAAATGAAAAGAAACATCTACCAGTCGTAGGTGAAAATCCAAGTTCATCCATAGCTAAATATAATTTTTCAATTACTACAAGAAGTGATTGGTATTTTATTGATGGCGGTCTAAAATAAAAATTGTTTTTCATCTATGGAACGTTGACAAAGGCGCTATAGAATAACTACCAACACTTTTCGAAATTCTTCGCTTGTTCTTATCTCGAAAACACTGTGTATGGCTTCGAAAGTCAACTTTTATGGTTTTTGGTATACATTTTCACTTGTCACTCTAAGTAAAACCTCACTTATATTCAAGTATATAAGGCATAGTTGTGGGTCTTCTGTTCAATTACACGAGTACATTCACACCGTTCTATAGTGAAAAGTTCTGATTTTCTCTACATCTATGATTTCTAATGTTAGATACATAGTAGTGTGATTGTGGGTTGCTTTATTATATTCTTAAAACCATCAATATCAAGAAGATATAAAAAAAATAGTGAATTTTTTCTAGTTAGTCATGCAATATATACATACACATTATCATCATCAATTAATGCTTGTGTTCGATCAAACTTGGCAAGATCTGTAAATGATTTAATTAAATTATCACATTGATCTTGCTGAAATTCAGAAAACAAAATCTTTTAGCAAAA